CTATCAGGGCACCAGCCCCTTCTACCTGCCACTAGAAGCCTGCTTTAGAGATCCCTCAACACTACCTCCCAAGGCAGGATCTGGACATGCTATTGTCCCCAGAGTTTGGATAACTAGGTTCATCCCTGGGTACCAGCTTGTCCCCAGGAAGCAATCAGCAGTGCTTGTCAAATGACTTGCCAGGAATAAGGAACACCTGGAGGCCAACAGCAAGCCCTACCCTTCCCATCCATATAACTAACGTGCCCAGCAGAGGGAGGTAAGGGATGCCATGCTATGGGGGTTGTGCATTGCTTTGCTCCAGGAATCCTGCTAAGAAGCCCCTGGACATGGCCCTGATCTAGCTCCATCAGCTCCAGAGCTATTGACTATCAGGGAGCCAGGAAGAACCCATTTTCCAAGTTGGACGTTGAGGCCACCTCTCAAAAGCCATAGAGTTGTATATGGGTACACAAAATTCTGGGCTCTGCTGCCAGAGCCATGCAATGCAAGCTTGCCTTGGGAAGCTCACTGCCCCTGTTCTGTAGCTGAATGAGCAGCAGCTCTTTTAGCCATGGTGCCTAAAAGTGCTTCTGCCTGACTGACATGTCTCCAGGGGTGCAATGACCAGAGGAGCTGAAAAACTTCGGGATGGGCAAAAAGTCACAACACACACAAAAAACAAGAATACCTAATACATGTGGCTCCACCTCCCTCAGTGCCACACTCACAGCTCTTCACTGGTCAAAACGGGGGCCCCCCCACAGTGGGTGACCGACATTGTCCATGCAGCCTAACACTCCAAGACTCCCAACCTGGCCCTTCCACTTCCCCAAACATTTGCTCCCCAGTCCAGGTGCTGCACGTGAGCAACAAGGGCCCTGCAGGCTCAGAACCTCATTCCGATCAATCCTGGGCTCTCCCAAAGCCTTGGCCTTAGAATGCCAACAATAGACAGAGTCCACACACCTCAGCTTACATCCTGTCTTCATTTAGAGGGCTCTCGGTTCAGGGAAGGGTGCTCCCTCCTTCCTTCTCAGAAACCTTCCAGGCCCCAACTTCCCAAGCACAATAAATACCCAGCCCCTGTCTGTGCTCTGAGCCTACTGCCCTCATCCTGGTGATAATCTGATCAATACGAAAGGAAGTTCTGCCAGCTTCTGGAGATCAACCAAGGTGTCCTGTCCCTCAGGGACACCTGCCACACACCATGCACCTATGCTTCCTTGAAGGCCCCTGACACTGAGAAGCATGTTTGGAAGCATTCCCATTCTTCTCAGACCGTATTACCATCTCCTGAAGACCTCCTTCGAGATCCAGGTCCCCACATGAAATCCTGACACCAGGATAATAAGTAGTACCATTCAATATGGAGGTTACCTACTCCAACCACAATAGCTGACTCACTTGAACCCTTTACCCTCAGTTTTCTTGTCTGCAAAATGAGAATTATTTATAACTTTTACCTCGGGAAAAATTACATTAGTAGCTGTAACAGCCATTACATTCTTTTTTTAAGTCTTGCTTTATAAACAGCCATGGGGTTTTCAATCTTTGTGTGTTTGTGTGTATTTGGAGGGGGTGGTACATGCTGAGGTGCATGTGTGGAAGTAAGAGAACATGTCAGTCCTTGTTTCTTACCTAGCTTGAGACAGGACCTTTTTCTGTTATTTTTTTCTGCTGTATACACAGGCCAACTGGTCCATGAGCTTTGGAGGTCCTCCTGACATCACCTTCCGTCTCTCCATAGGAGATCTGAGATTATAGGCGTGAACTGCCATGCCCAACTTTATGTGTGTTCTGAAGATTCGAACTCAGGTCCTCACACTTGCACAGAAAGTGCTTTACTCACTGAGCCAGCTCTCCAGCTCAGCAGCCATGTTTTTTAAAGACCCGCTATGGGTGACTTATCCCACACAATCATCAGAGTGATGTCATAAGCAGGAATGGTTATCATCCCCATGGTAAGTGGGGGTATAGTTAGGTATAGTGAGGCTTGGAAGAGGTCACATCATTTGTCCTAAGTCACAGAATTCGTGAAGCGAGGACTCAAGACTCAAACACAATTTCCCCTGCATCTAGAGTTCAAGCCAGCCACTTCATCCACACCTACTACCATTCCCCCTTGTTCTCATCCTTGGTTTCAACCAAAAAAATATTAAATGGAAAATCCCAGACACCGAACAATGATGTTTCTAGTTCAGTGCTGTTATGAGTAGTATGATAAAATTCCACACCATTCTTTGTCTGTCATATCCTTGCTGCATCTGCTACCCACCTGTGAGGTATTAGTAGCCATCTAGGCTCTCAGGTTTACTGACTCAGCAGCTCAGTGCTTGTACATGGGGTAGCCATCCCTAGAAGACCTGAACATGTATCATGCAAGTAAAAGGATACAGCTGCACCCTGAGACAGGAGCCGGATCAGGCATGGCTGGGGGGGCAGGAGGAATACCGTCCGTGGTGGAGCTGGAAACTTGAATTCCCCTGTGAAAGAGGAAAATGGAGTCCCACTGATCTGCCCCAGCAGCTACTCTCAGATTCTTTTTTTGTTTGTTTTGGTTTGGTTTTGTTTTGTTTTTGTTTTTTCAAGACTAGATTTTGTTTTTCAAGACAAGTTTTCTCTGTAGACCAGGCTGACCTCGAACTCACAAAGATCTGCCTGCTTCTGCCTCCAGAGTGCTGGGATTAAAGGCGTGTGCCACCATCACCTGACAATCCTCAGATTCTTGAGGACTCATTCCATCTGTGTCCATCCATCTCCAGGCATCCTGGCCAGGAGTAAAGGGTCTCCCTGGCCCCAAGGAGGACACCCTCAGGCAGCAGTAGGAGACTAGGGCTTTTAGAGATCTTCTAAATTCTGAGTCAAAGCCAAGATTTCAGGCCTTCTAAAGAAAAGTCAGCTTCCTTCTCCACTCCAAAAGATAACCCTCCAAATGTTTCCCCAAGGGCAGCCTGGACTCTAGGCTCTGAATTCCCAGGCATACACTAAGCACCACCAGCGACCATCAGCTCACTCCTCACTGAACTTGAACAAGTGTAAACTATACTACCCCTGTATTCCCAGCGACACAGGGAGGCACGGAGAGGACAAGGGACTTGCTGAGGTGCACAGGACACAGCAGAGCCAGGATCTGAACACATTCAGTGCTGAAGCATTAGCTTTCTCCAACTGGCACTGCTCCATCAAAAGGACACTAAGGTGCCCCCTCTCAGCTGCTTTGATGGCCTATCCTCCCAAAAGCCCAAGCTTATGGTCTTCCCCCATCATGTTCCCCACACCCACTGCAGCCTGGATAGAAAGTGGCTGCAAAGGTCCTTTCCCCACCCCCAGCCTGTCCATTAAGCTCCCAGGGCTATCAATGTAT